GGGTGTAACAAAAAGCTAGGACATACGATAGTCGATCATCCCCAAACATAATGGAATGCAAGATTAGCTATATGGAGTGATGGTTATGAGAGTAGCCTCGAAGATGATAAAGAAAATAAAGATGATGTATACCCTAACCTTAATTGCTTTTGTGATAAATTACAAGATGCCTTTGAAGAGTTTTATAACGAATTAGTTAAATTGGGAGCAAAGAATGTGTTGATGTGGTTTGAATATGAAAATATCTTATCTTGAGAATATTTTATTTTTATCCAAGGAGTTTATATTTATTATACAGAGATATTTTTTATTTATCATAGGGATTATTTTTTATACATATCCTGAAGAGTTTTTTAAAAGAAAAATTCTCATAGTTTCTCTATATATGGACCTACAACTCTATTGGTGATGTATTTTCAAATTATCATAATAAAAAAGATTTTTTTCGGTCTTTCCTGTGAATGTAGGCACACTTGCCGAACCACGTTAAATCTTATATCTTTTCTTGTTTTGCTTTACTTTGTTGTCATTGTATGCAGGTTTAGGGATTAATTTTTTCAACAAGTGATATCAGAGCCGATAGCACAGAAATGCATATTTTTAGGTTATTCATTTTGAGTGAAAGGTTACAGATTGTGATATAGTAATCTAAAGTCTTCATGGTTAGTTATCAACAGATATGCCACATTTAATGAGTCTATTTTACTAAACAGTTTGAAAGTGAAAGTAATAATAATATCAAATTACAGTATCAAAGAAAAAGTAGAGTTAGAAGTTTAGTATAATAATTCAATTAATGAAGTGCAAGTTCTCAATCAATAACATATTAGTCCACCTGATCAACAGCAACCATATAGTATTATAACAAATAGAGAGATGAGATAGATTAGACCATGATAGAGATATAAGAATCTGGTTGCACATGTCTTATCAGTTGCAGTAAAAGTTGATTTGCAGGAACCAAGGAGTTTGGTCACAAACTAATGGGTTGATGATGGGTGTAATGAGCTTGATGGGTGATATATCACTTCGTTTAGGACATTATATTACAGGGTACTAAAGTTGCGCAGAATGAGTCTACACATAAAAATCCTAAAGATATAATATGCAAGACGATTAGAGTTAGTAAGTTTAGGTGTTGTTTAGATTTAGTTGGAGTATGCAATACTTAGTAGTACCCCTGTAAGAGCATGTTGGTAAGACGGTGTAACTAAACGTTTAGTTTCTTTAATGATAGAGAGTATTCAAGTTAAGGGGAAGATTTGTTGATTTATCTTGAATTTGGGATTATTTTTACTTCAAGCTACGGAGAAGATTTATTGATGTACCTTAAATTTGGGATTATCTCATCTTCAAGATATTTTATCCTTATCCTAGGAGATTTGTATTTATTATAGGGAGATATTTTATATTTATTATATGGATTATTTTATGTATATTTTGAACATTTTTTTTGAGAAAAAATTTCTTATTGTTTCTATATATGTGAACTTATAGGTCTATTGATAATTTATTATCAAATTATCATAATGAAAAAAAAATTTCTCGATCTTGCCATATATGTGAGCGTACTTGCCGAATCACGTGAAATTTCATTTTTCATTGTTTTACTCTACTTTATTGTGATTGTGCGCGAGTTTGTGGATTAATTTTTTCAATAGAATGTCAAATTTAAGAAATACGCAAAAAATGTGGAAACTTTGAAAATGACAAATAATGAATTAAAAACAAAATTAGATAACTTGGAATGTGCAAGCTTGATGGATGAAAATCTTCATTGAAAATAATATGTAAGTTTATACAAGGAAAAGAAAAATTAAACATATTATTGACAGAGTAAAGAAATGTGCATAACAAGGTAGGATTTGGATATGATTCATCTAAGTAACAAAAACTTATTAAAAAATTGTTTGTGAAATCCATTAACTCAATTAGTTCATTTATTGTTTTTAACCCCCCAAATATAGAAAAAGGCAGCAAGAGCTCTTCTACCGCAACAATATTTAGCCATGTTTTTAACCCCAGTGCAAGTAGAAAAGTTTGCACACCAATTCTGGTTTTTGCTCCTTCATTTCTGTTGTGTTATGTGATGTTGGAGGACACTCAAGATATGAATGGATTGATTTTGTTCAAACCTCACAATCCTTTTGTTTCAAAAGACAGAAGCACTCCATCTAGTAGCAAAAATTGCAGGAGATTGTCGGTATTTGGTACTAGTAGACCCTTTTAACTATCTTCGTTCTTACTAATAAAGATCGTGTGGACGCATGGTGCATCGAAGAAATCATAAGACAACTTAGGGTAACAACAGGATTAGATCTACTAGGGAAATAGATTCCTCAAAACCCAGATAAGCCAGCAAGCTCATGTTGTAGTAAAATGGATTGCTCATTAAATTTTGACCAATTGAACAATATTTGAAAACCCCTCCTCTTGTGTATATATTTCTTGTATATAAATAATAATAATAATAATCTAAAAAAATGAAAGAGTTTAAAATAATAAATTTATTAAAAGCATAGAATTTTCTTGTTGAAGAAAAAATATAAATATTTGAAAATTCATGATTAGGTAGAAAATATTTTTAGCTGATATAGTAGGCAACTAAAAATGACTTATATCAATATGAATGATTTTCAAAAGATACAAGTCTTCCGAGACATATATGTCTCCAAGCAACTATGAAGTTCAAATTCAGAAAGATGTCATTCTTTATCAACCCTTCCAATCTTTTCTTAAAGATGTGGCCAACTATAATATTATTTGAACCTAGAAGACATTACTTATAAGGGATGTTTTAGCAATAATCTATTCAACGTCAAATAAGCTGACATCTATACCATATGGAGCTATATAAATGAGTGTGTGTGTGTGTGTGTGAGAGAGAGAGAGAGAGAGAGAGAGAATCAAGAAATCATCACTTTGCAAAACCTTGCTCTAGCTTCTGGATTAATCTTTCAGTTCCTTTTCTTAATTCTTAAGTGAAAGATATAAATAATGGAACAATAGGTCATTCATCCAAAATATTAACGAAGGAATTCCTTGTTTAAAAGTTAAAAGTTAAGCATCTCATGTTTCCTTCTGTTTCTGAAATACAGTCATGACTTGTATATATTATTATAAAAATAGTTATATTTTAGTAAATTTCTCTAAAATCGATAACCCAGACCACCCTGTACCCAAATACGTATATAAACATAGAATCATTACTCAAACTTGGGAAAAAAAGGAGATTCACTTGTAGCTGGTTACAACACTAAATATTTACTTTTGCCATTGTCCTGGACTCTTGCGGAGGCCATGGCCTCGAACTATCTCCGTTCTGGCAGAACATTCTGACTTGGGTTCTGGCTAGAAGATCTATCATCGCTCTTCGATCTGGGAACTATCAAAGGTCTACAGCAGACAAGAGTAAACAGCAACTCCACAATAAACACACTTATACTCATCCATATAAATATAGTCTTCTTCCAATTCCAAAGAATCCTTTTGAAGAAAGGATGTTCCGTTTGAAGAGTTAGGGATGCACCATATATTTCAGGAATACCGGCACCAAACAGGAACTCTGCTCGTTGTTCAATTATTACCTTCACGCATGCAGTAGGTATATCTCCTTCAGTATAACCACTAATCCTCACTTCCAGTGTTTGAGACTCTGATATAAAGCCAGTAATAAGAGGAGCAACCTTAAGGAAAGTAAGAAGAAGCCGGATAGGCTCGCTCTTAAATTTTAGCATGCATGGATGCCTTGAACTCGCAAGGGTTTGACCTTTAGCAGATAGGAAGTCCACCCTGACCTTCAGACCGGAAGGCATTCAATTACACAATTGCTAATCACATACTGACGCGCCTAATAAAGATGCATGATATATATGGATATGATCAAACATATGAATTTTCTGCACCACATTTAAAGGACTGCTCATGACCATTAACTTTAATAAGAATACAAGCCGTTTCGTACTATGTAATATTTGGTTCAAAACATTGATTCTAAGAACACACTATAAATCAAATAATGTAAGAGCGCGAACAATATTCTAATTTGATTTTCAATTTTTATTAGATCAACATTTTATTTTTACTTAACCAGGTGGCAGCCAGAAATCCATCTCCAAAGAATCAGAGTCACTACTTCAGAAAAATACTACCCAAGACATCAAGAGAAAATGGTTAATTTAACCCCTAAACTTTTGACCATGTAAAAATGAAATCTAAAACTATTTTTGTTAAATTTTGATGCTTGAACTTACAAAGTTACTTCAAAATATATATTTTTTTAAAAATCTTACGGCAATAACTTTTGTTATTTCTATCTTACTTGAGGGACATAAAAATAGGTTAAAAGATATAATGCTTTTATTTAGAGCTAAAAAAGTTCTTTTTTAAAAAAAATTAAAAATAATTTTTGTAGGTTTCTTCTTCTTCCCAAATGTCTGGTACTGTCATCAGTATTAAACAAATTAATTACTTTTATTAAATTCATCAAAGTTAATCTTTTGTTAGTATAACTTTAAAACTTTGTAGAAAATAAAATATAAATAGAACAGAAAAAAATACGATTTTCTGTCAAAATTTTTAAGAGTTATGAATTGAAATAATTTTGTAAGTTCAAAAACTAAATTGTAGCAAAAAAATATTTTTCAAATCTAATTATAATATAAACAATAGTTTAGGGACTAAGTTAGTATAGACTTGTTAAAATAGAACCTAAAAATATCTCAAAGTTTAAAGTACTCAAGAAACTTATCAATAATTATTTGCACTATTTTATTTAAATTGCTATTTTATTTTTATAGAAGAAACCACAACTGGTCTTGAAAATAATTTCTCTGTTCAGAAATAACTATCAACATCTTAAAAACTACATTCACACTTATCCTAAATAATTAACTACATTAAATAAAACTACATAGTGAAATAAAATAATAACTCTATTTCAGCAGTCATGTGTCGCTCAGTCCAGCAGCCACGTGTTCATCAACTTCAGCAACCATGCGGCGCATAACGGTACACTGCCCCTCGAAAAAGTGTTTGTCCTCAAATACTCAAACTGGACATGAAGCTCAAGAGTTGCTACAGGGAATTAAGCAATTTAATAGAAAGGCAAAGCAGGTGCAAATCCAAACCCTTAGGTTTCTGTTCTGGGAAAACCTTTGGCTTCTCTACCCAAAGACTGGTAGACAAGAGCCTTAGTGGACCGCACTTGATTTCTCTTATATCATGAAATTGTATTCTGTCCATTTTTCATAAACTTGTATGCAAAGAAGTAAAAACCCATCTAGAGTTGTAAACGAGTGAAATCTAGATTTGCTTCCAAACCTAGAAGCTCTGAAACAAATAAAACAAATAAAAAGACTGAATTCCAAAAGCCAGGCTCTTATCTGCTAACTTCTGTAAACCCAACTACCTCATTATCTTCGTTCACCATCATCAATCTGATCGAGGAAAGCAAACAGTCCCATGGGACCAAAACCTCAAGCAAGGAAATCCCCTAGAAATTCATTTAGTAATCACCCATTGTGCATTGTTAGCAAAAATTGAATTCCCTTGATAGTAGGTGAGGAGATTTCAACCTCCTTTGCATCAATTGGACCAATTCCATCTCTCTGTCTTCACCAGCAAATTTATCAGCCACCATTTTCAGCCAAAACCCCACATGGACTGAAATTCCAGTGAAAATCCAGAAAAGGCATGCTGATCTAAGATGAGGTGCATGGGGATATCTGGATGATCTCATTGTCACCAGAATTATGCCTGATTCTAGTAAAATACATATTGTTATATTTAGTTCAACGAACTCGTCGGGGAAATTCTCCTGTTATGGGATATTTCTTGGTCTGTCTACACTTGTAGATTTCTTGTAATTCTAGTAAAATACATATTGTTATATTAAGTTCAACGAACTCGTCAGGGAAATTCTCCTGTTATGGGATATTTCTTGGTCTGTCTACACTTGTAGATTTCTTGTAAAAATCCTCCAGATTGGTTATATTAGTAGGTTGACCAGTGCCTAAACACCTTCCATGGATTCAACACACTTTGTACTGGCCACTGTTTCCAACCAAAACAATTTGAGACAGCAGTCAACCAAGATTAACTTCTTATAGCAGATGAAGCAAAGCCTTTAAATCCATTGTCTTTAAGTTCTGCCTAAGACAATTGCTCTTAATCTGGACCTAATAAACTTGCTCAGGTTCCAAATTGCTCAAATTTTCATTGCTAATCATGCCTTGCACGCACTTGGCAAAGTTTTTACCAATTTTGCCAAGTTCTTTTTGACATTCACTGCTTCTATAACCAACATTTCTCCAACTTCAGAATAATGCATAGACAGTTCTCCAGATAATAGTTCCAGCCAACTCAGTCTAGCAACATAAGAAGCCCTGGCTCGCTTCCCTTCATGATGTTCCTGTGCCCAATCTACCTTTTGAAAGATTCTCAAATTGTTGGTAAATAGATTGCGGATCACCCATAACAACCAGACTCAATAAATGTGATCTCCAATGCCAAGTAGCCGAATCTTTAATATTGTCAATCTGGAGATGCCTTTTAGCTTGCCACTTAAACCACCTATTAGACATCCACTAACAAAAAAATAACCTCCATGGCCACGATTAGCAACACCTACTACAAATCTATCTCAATATCTACCTTGGACTCCAATAGAGAGCATTAATAAATCCAGCGCTCCAACTTTCCTCCATTCCCCAAAGATCACAATAGCATATTCAATTCATTATCAATTTCATATGCTCTTCTTTCTCCCTTAACTGCTCTCATTCTCACGAATGTTTACTCCAATATAACCTCATAAAATCTCTTGGTTAATACCCATCTCTAATCACAACAAAAACAGCTAGTACTAACAATAATAACAGTCTCAACCAAAAAACCACCAAAAAAGAATGTCAACCAAGTTTCTTAATAGAACTAAAGCTCCAAACATTTACTCCTTAAGAATTCAGCAGGACAACTTAAGAATATTTGAGATAATCAAGAACCTCTTGTCATCTGCTCTATGATAAAGAACATATCCAATCTGAATATAAAGTTATAATGGTACATTTACATGGCTACTTTTTATCAGCTCCTTGTTTACTTACACAAGACTATAATGCATAGAAATTATGACATGTATAATTCAAGCAGTAAAATGCAAAACAAAAATAAGAAATGGAAAACATAAAGACAAATGACCAACTCTTCCCATACAAACAAAATATATAAACCAGGATTATCAAAACCATAGAATAAAAAATAGTTTGGAAAATTTAGAATATATTTGAGAAGTACCTGAAATATGCCAAGATTTCTGTTATACTCGGACTCAGGCAATGTCAAAGAAACAGTAACCTGCAACTTATGATCTGGTGGTATGATACGGGAATCCAATCTCCCTCTTTCAAGATTGTCCAGACTATTCATCACGCAATCCGTATCACCACAGAATATAATTGGCACATAAGCCACCGGACTCCCCTTGGTGTAATCAAAATTCAAATTCTCCTTTATAAAGGTTCGCTCCTCCACCAAATGATTCATAACGAAACCACTAAAAACAAGTGATGAAACCAGTAAAGCGCACAAAATAATACTAACATAAATAGCCCAAAACAACCCGCACCCAAATCTCAACGCAAGCTTCAGTACGGATTTTCTCTCCTTCAACCATTCACATACAAATGGACTCCAACTGCCAAATGTCAAATTCCAAAAATCAATCAGTTTTTTTATTAAATATCCTCTACCGCGCCTTATTATTCTAGAGGGATCAACAGCAAACATGCAGCAGACATATAACGCCCATAAAGGAAACGTAATCATGGTAACTAACAAATTGAATTGAAAACCGATTGCCTTAATCACTAGCCCAGCCACAAACACAAGAAAATTTGTGAAAGAAAGATCACCGAGGTCCCCATCCAAGTTGACCCAGTCATGACCTCGGGCGTAACCCTCTGTAGTTAACGGGGACTCCTGTTTCTCCCCGCTCAATGAACTCGCAACTCCAACCGGATCAACAGAATCACAACCTGACGCAATTGTGTCCACATCCTTAACGTTTTCCTTTGAATCAAGATAAGGCTTGTCCCTTCTATCCCGAGAACTGGTTTGTGGGTCATCGGTTTGGGTAATACAGGAACTAATCGACGAAGTATCGGAGTTGGGATATTTAGATTCACTTTTGGAGATTCTCCGACGACGGAGCGATCGATTCTGTAGATTGGCGGATGAAAGCTCCGGGCTAGGTGATGTGGAATGATCCGTTTGGTCCTCACTGGGGCAATCGTGAAACGGAAAGTCCTCGGGTGCGTCGGAGAATGGACGATCCTCCTCATTGGAATTTCCCGGGGATTCCATTAAAGAGGATGTATCGGATAAGGATTAAGATTTCTGTTCTTGCCCTGAAATGCAGAAAAAGCGACTTGGAATGAAGAAATTGAGTCAGCAACAAGTTTCTTGTCGAGGCATTTTTGGAAAAACCACGGAATTCCAGTGATTTTCAATTTTAATAAAAAAATATTAAATGTAAATTTATTTAATTTTAAGTCAGATTATTAAAATAATATCTAAAGCTTAAAACTTATTAGAATGTGATTAATAATATTGTATTTGTTTTAAAATTCTAAATTTTATTTATTTTTTTACAAAATTATTTATTTTAAATTTTGAAAATTTTAAACCTGATATAATTATTTTAATTTTTTATTAAAAAATAAATAAAAATTAAATTTTTGAAATAAATATAAATCATTATGAATCAAGTTAATTTATTATATTTTATGGTATGATTCTCTCCTCTCTTTTTTTTTGTTGTTGGTATTTTCTAATATATTATTAACTTATTTTAATTACTTTTAGAACATATTACTGACATAACTTCTCTTTCACATTTTTTTCTTATAGATAATTTTATTTCCTCTACTTAAATATAAGTTTGGCCCTAATTTATTACATTGTTCTACCTTCATAATATTATTATTTGCAATATATTCATATACTATGTAATTTTTTTACTAATCAATAGTTTGTAATATATTTTAATTAGGTTTTGCGTATATATTTATTTTAATTATTTTGTTAATATTATGAAACTCTTTATTATTTACCTCATCATTTATGGATGTCCATCTAATTTAATTTAGAAAATTCTTCTAATGTAATTTCTAAATTAATTCATGATATCCTATATTTCTATAAATGGAGATTTATTATATTTTTGAAAAAGAAAAAATTGAATAAAAGAATTCTCATTTTAGCTTTTGTTCATATTTTATTAAATTCGCGTTAGTTATTATTATTATCTATTTTTTTAATGATTTATAATATGTTATTAGCACGATTTAATTCTAGTTTTTTTCCACACAACTTTACTTTTCCTATTCATGTATAATCTATATACTTTTAATTAGTTAATTTATTATATAATTTCGTAAATTATTCTTACTATTTTTAATATATCCATATAAATACTATTTTCCTAATTGATTTTTTATCTTATTTTTTAATTAAATTATGCATATATATTCATTTTCATTATTTTATTATCCTCATATATATTTTTTTAATATATATCTCATTTAGATGTTATAAGAATAAAACAATAAATTTATGTAAAATGGTATCAAGGAAATGAATTTCCTTAATCATCACCTTCAGAAAATTTAGTGATCCAACTTGAACTTAATCATTTATCAAGACATTAAATTAAATATTATTTAGTGAAAGATCCAACTTGAACTTTTATGATTGCATACATTTAATTTAGCAAAAGTTTCTTATGGTTACATGCATTTAATATTGCAAAATTTTAAAATTATGTGCACGTATAATTTTGCATTATTTTATTATAACAAACGTCATGCAAGGCGTAAAACTTCTCAAATATAATATTTAAAAATGAAACATTCAATAGAAGTCATCACTAATCATATTAGAAGTAGAATTCACTACTAAAAAAAAAAATTAAGTGTTGATCTATATCTGAAATTCAATGTTCAAAACAATATGGTAGGGAATCTACTGTCTTGTGGTCTACATTGACATATCAAGTGTTAACATATTGATTAATCCCTTAATCTATGTGAAATGTCTGAAGTTGACATTATTTCAAAATAAAATCCACTAAACTTTAAAGTTAGGAATATTCATAAAGGATGATGGGAATGGAGCAACTAAAATACATCAAATAAAAAAAATACAAGTAAAAATAAAGAAAAAATTAAATGAAAAACAAAATTTGAATGACTTCTTACACTCTCCAATATCTTCTTATTGGTAAACATCATTATTTACCCATACCATTTAAAATCTGATAGTATGAATTACTCTTGCTATTATTACTATCATTATTCGATTTTTTGTTATTACTGTTATTGTTTTTCTACAGTAATTATTTATACTATGATCTCTTGTATTTTATTTGTATGAAAATATAAAATTGTCTAAATAAGTTTTTCACAAATAAAAAATAAAACCTATAAATATTAATTCTTATTAGATTCCCAAGAAATGAGTAACAAAGGAGTAGATCATTAAGTAAATCATCCTTAACCCAGAAAAATAAAAACAACCAAAACTTAGAGAACAAATGAAAAAAAAAAATTAAATAATCAATCAAATACTTATGCAAAAAAATTGACAGGTTCTACATGTATCCCTGCAAAAAAAATATGTTAAGAAGCCTCAATTGGCCAGAAAAATAAAAAAAACTGAACCTACCGAAGGGGTCTCTGGGTACAGCGGCTCCACTGGTTCTCCGGTTAACCTGCATAAAAAGGGACGGTGAACACAAGGGTTAAAAAATCATGTGAAACGGTAAACGGGAAGAGGGTCATTGGAGAGGATTTAGGGTTTTGGCCACATAGGTTCTGTTGGGCTTTGCCCACATTTTTCGGCTTACCTACTGCCCTTTTTGCTCTAATATGGCCACAGAGAGGCTCAAAATTGAACTTCGAGGTAGGAGGGAAAAATTTTACCTTTTTTGGCGGTCGACGGTGATTCTAGTGCAACGGCCGATGGTTGGTTTCCTTCTCCAACGTCTAGTTCTTCTTCTCCAGTGAGGGTAGGTGCAGGTAGGGTTAGGGTTCGCTGGAATGTGATATTTAAATACCCATCCCGTATTGATATGAACCGTCCGTTCGGGGATACATAGCCCTCTCTCATCCATTGGATCTATTTTATTTGAGGAATGAATCTGAGTCACACAATTAGATTGAATGTGACAGTTTGATCGTGTCTAAAGAGGTAACGTATCTGGGCCGTTCACGCCCGCGAGATGAGATCTGGACTGTCGAATCGCTGGGCACACGGATCACTCGTGTGGCTTCCCGAGTGGTGCCGATGTCAGCGAGATTGCCACACGACATGCTTTAATTCGCTGAACTTTTTTTTGTGCTTTAACCAACTGTTTTCAATTTTTCTTTCAAAAACACCCCCTGAATTCAAAATGTCACCCATTTTCTCCAAAATTGCTTTCAATTTCGTCACTAATTCATTTTTTCTCAAAGATTCAATAAAATTAAATTAAAATAAATAAAATTAATTATTTGTTTAATTTTTTTTATAAATAAAATAATAAAAAAATCATTGCGGGCTGATTTTCGGACTCAAGTATTACACCTCTCCCCCTTTAAGAAAATTCGGTTCCTCAAAATTGTCACCCTCTCTCTTAGTTAAACAATTAGGGGTATTGTGCTTTCAACCATAAGATTTTGACGAAAAGAATTTCTCTGTTGCGAAGTATTTTAATCTTCTGGTCCACAATGCCTACCATTACCTTCTCATAGGATAGATCCTCCTGGAGTGAAAGGGGTTCGTATGACAGGATGTGTGAGGTGTTTGAGTTGTACTTGCGTAGCATGGATACATGAAATATATTATGGACTTTGAATAGCTCTAGAGATAATGGTAGTCTGTAGGTGGACATATTAATTATGTCTAAGATTTCAAATGACCCAATGAACTAGGGATTTAATTTCTCCTTCTTGTCAAACCTACTGATTCACTTAAAATAGGTGACCTTAAAAAATACTTTATCGCCTTTCTTAAATTTCAAATCCCTCATTCGGGTGTCCGCATAACTCTTCTGCCTGCTCTGAACTGTTTGGATGTTCTTTCTGATTTTAACTATCTTGGCTGTAGTCTTCTCAGTAAAATTTGGGTCAAATAATTTTCTATCACTCACCTCTTCCCAATAGATCGGTAACCTACAGGGTCAACCATATAATGCCTCATATGGGATCATGTCGATGTTTGCTTGATAACTGTTATTGTAGGCAAACTCTATCAAAAATAGGCGATCATTCCAATGGCCTCTGAAGTCTAGAACACAAGCTCAAAGTATATCCTTTAGTGTGCAAATTGTCCTATCTGATTTTCCATCAGTTTGAGGGTGGAATGCATTGCTAAGTGATAGTCTCGTTCTCATAACTTGCTGAAGACCAGACCAAAATCGAGAAGTGAACCTAGGATCTCTGTCGGATACCACTATCACCGAGATTTTATGTAACCTTACTATCTCCCGGATATAGATTCTTACTACCTTGTCTAAGGGGTCGGTCATCTTGATACCTAAGAAGTGAGATGACTTGTGAGCCAGTCATCAATTATCCAGATAGCATCATGTCCTAAGCATGCCTTAGGCAACCCTATCACGAAATTCATAGTGATATATTCTCATTTTCACTCCGGTATCGGTAATAGCTGAAGTAACCCGTCTAGACATTGATGTTCTGTCTTAACCTATTGACATATTTGGCATTTGGAGACAAGGTTGGCTATCTCTCTTTTCATCCTGGTCCACTAAAATTGGGGTCGCATACTTTGATACATCTTAATATTTTTAGGATATATAAAAAATTTTGAGCTATGAATCTCTGTCATGATGTCCTTTTTTAGTTCACTGTTATCTCGAACACACACTTTATCCTAGAATTTGAGCGACCCATCGGTAGAAACCTTGAATTCTGGATTTACCCCATATTCTGCATCCTTCTTGAGAGTTGTTAGGGTAGAATCGGTCAATTAAGCTTCCTTTATTCTTTGAATCAGTTCGAGTTGAACTGTTAGTGGGTCAAGCATGTAACACTCTTCAAGTTCTAAAGTTATTTTTGTTGTACAACCCATATTACCCTGCATTTAGAAACTATTAGGTGAGTTTGCATACCTGCATTTTTTCTGCTGAGCGCGTCAACTACCACGTTGCCTTTTCTCGAGTGATACAAAATCTTACAATCATAGTCCTTTAGGAACTCCATCCAACGCCTTTGAAGCATGTTAAGATCTTTTTGAGTGAATATATGCTTCAAGCTCTTATAGTCTATGTAAATCTCAAAAGTCTTTTCATACAAGTAATAACGCCAGGTCTTCATGGCGTGGATAATAGTGGGCAATTCTAAGTCGTGAGTGCGATAATTCTTCTCATGACTCTTCAGCTGTATGGATCCATAAGCTATGACCTTCCTATGCTGCATTAAA